AAACTACACCTGGACCATAAAATCTACACCTGAACCATAAAATCTACACCTGGACAATAGAAACTACACCTGGACCATAAAATCTACACCTGAACCATAAAATCTACACCTGAACCATAGAAACTACACCTGGACCATTGAAACTACACCTGGACCATTGAAATTACACCTGAACCATAAAAAATACATTGAACCATAAAAAGTACACCTGGACCATAGAAAGTACACCTGGACCATAGAAACTACACCTGGACCATAGAAAATACACCTGAACCATAAAAACTACACCTAAACCATAGAAACTACACCTAAATCATAAAAACTACACCTGGACCATAGAAACTACACCTGAACCATAAAAACTACACCTGAACCATATAAAATACACCTAAATCATAAAAACTACACCTGGACCATAGAAACTACACCTGAACCATAAAAACTACACCTGAACCATAGAAACTACACCTGAACCATAAAATCTACACCTGGACCATAGAAACTACACCTGAACCATAAACACTATCTATACTAAATAAATGTTAATATTTACATATCTTTTTATATTACAATCAACTAAAATGTTTTTTGTAAATATGTTTTGTTTCTGGATTACACATCTACTTTATAATTTTTTTATATAAAAACCTGCATCCCACCATTTTTTAAACGTACCTGCCTCTCTTTAAAATTAGTTTAAGTGACATCTGTTTTGTTATGTAGGTTTATATATTTATACAGGAGTTTTTCTCTTCTGTGATTTGAGAAGTAAAAACTGGAGGTTTTGTCGAACCATACCGTTGTCCTTGGTACCGCCGTCCTCTATGGTCATCTGCTCGGCCAGTTCAGACAGAGACTCGTCGATGGTCAGACTGGGGCGGAGCGTTAACGACAGGCGCTTCTTTATCCTCTTCATCTTCTCCATAGCGGGTCGGCCTACGGCCTGCGAGACACAGAAACACACTCAGTCCCAGCTGAGCAACAAGCGAACAAACACAACATTCAGACGGCTGCACGAGAACCCGACGAGTCCAAAATATCTCAGCTGATGAATAACGCATGGCAACTTTTAATGCAGCTCTGCAAAACGCTTCAACAGAACATAAATAAAGGATGAATCAAGAATTAATAAACAACGAGACTCAGAGTTGAACACAGCTGTTTTTCCACACGTTCAAATTAACTCTAATTGAAGGTGTCAAATAAACACCTGGATCACGATGCCAGACGGGGCAGGTCACAGGAAACACCTTGTTCATTGTGCCAATGTGTGTGCAGATGTGTGTGTGCAGATATGTATGAGGAAGGGGTGTGGCAGCAGGGAGGAGTCAGCAGCAGAAAGGTCCCGCCCATCAGGCTCGACATCCTGCAGTCACCATCCTTCTCTTTCTACCTCGAGCTGTTTGGCTCCTCACTAACCGGTTGTGATTAAATGTGAAACTTTTCTAACTTTCAGACCTCTGCACCTCGCCAGGTGCTCTGGTCCACCTGTCCTCAGGTGTTCCGGTCCTCGTGAACAAACAGCTCCAGCTGTCTGAGCTCTGAAGTGTTTTTAGCTGTGTGTTTTTGGGTCATTATCCAGTTAGACGATCCAGGACCCCTGACTGAGACTGAGCTTTAAGACCGGGCAGCACATTTTTCTCTAGACAGCCTTGATAGTCTTGAGATTTCATTGTCAACCTGAGTGAAGATGGCTGCCACACCCAATCAACCCTAAAGAAACAGAAAACCACCTGAAAATGCAGCTCACAAAAATCGCAACGCATCAACAGAATGAATGCATTGGGGAAACACACACACACACGCACGCACGCACGCACGCACACACGCACGCACACACACACGCACACACACACACACACACACACACACACACACACACACACACACGATGTGATAAGCCCTCTTTGTCTCCCCAAACAGAAAACTGTAACAGAGCTGGCTTTTATGTTTGCAGCAAAACTCAAAAACAAAGAGATTCATATGACATGTGCGTGTGTGTGTGTGTGTGTGTGTGTGTGTGTTTTCAAAGTACAGGATTTGGCACATATGACTGATATGTGTGTGTGTTATGTAGAGGGGGGCGGGGTTGGCATGAAAGGGAGCATAAGCAAGAAGAGAGAAGCACTTTCTCGCGTTTAACATCAGCATCTTCACTGACACACACACACACACACACACACACACACACACAACACACACGTTTTGACCCACATTCCCAACATCCCCAGTTCCTTGCTGCCTCTCCAGTGCAGCCGGGGTGAGTCTGGAGGGCGAGACTTCAAAAGGACGAGGAGGTGGGAGGCTTCAGGGGACGAGACCTAATTACTGGGCTAATTATTACAAACCCTGCTCTCTCCCACTCCTCCGCTCCCAACTCTTATGGTTTTTCCAGTTTTTGCTTTGTAATTCCAAAAAGAAGAGGGAAAAAAGGAGGAAAAAAAAGAGTGAGTGAGGTAATGAAATGGAAAATGTGGGTTTTTACATTTGATCCAGAAGATGTGGGTGAAAGTGTGAGCAGCAGGAGGAGGAGGAGGAGTGAGCAGAGCGGAGCCATCATAGTGTCTTTGTGTTCGCTTAAAAGCCATGAAATCACCGGAGAGAGGGCGAGCATGTACCGACAGAGGATAGCCTTTCTTATTTTTATGACTTTTATTCAAGTTTAAAAATCTTCCAAGTGCCAAACAAAAACTCAACACCTCGATATTAATGGTTTGAAATCACAAATTCTTGAATTTTGCAGAAATAAAGTGACCCTCAGAGTCTTTCTGTAAATTCAGGAGCACTTCATCAAATCTGTGGTTTCAGGAAGTTTCCTCTGAGCAGAACACCGTCTCCTCCAACCAAACACAACGATCAGCATTGTTAACACCCCCCCTCCTAAAATAAACAATCATATGAGAATCACAACCAGTTTTAAATAGATTAAATCATCTCCTTCACCGAGGGAGGCGGGGCCACATCAGAGCCTGGGGGACCAATGAGCTCACATTTCAAGAGATCCATTAAATAATGTCGTTTTTAAAAAATGTTAGGAGACGATTTTATTTTGACGGATTTCTCTGGGAGCAGATAAATGTTCCTGAATAATAAATAAAATCAAACCRTTTTCAGAACGGTATCTTCTCCCCTGGTTTCAGGCCTGACTGGTCAAACATCCTCACAGGTTTCACAACATTTGGTTTGCTTTTAAATTGTGTAATAATTCAATTGTTTTTCTTATCTGTGAACAAGACTCTGAGCCTGATTCCTGCCACCCCCACAGCCCGCTGCCCACACCGAGCAGACATCCGTTCTTCAACACAAGAACCAGGAAAATAACCTGAAAACCTGTGTTTATACTGCTGCAGCGCGAACACAGAGCTGAGCGGCTTCGCTAAACAAGCTAAAACCAGAAGAACAGAGGCTAAAACCAGAAGAACAGAGGCTAAAACCAGAAGAACAGAGGCTAAAACCAGAAGAACAGAGGCTAAAAC